AGGAGAAGGTAGTTTCTCTCTCCTGGTGTCCTGGCCAACAATTCCTCCAATAAATGTTCACTCACTTCATAGCTGTTTGTGGGATGTTGCTGGCACTGTGTTTGCCTACAAAATACACTGTTACTACATTTTACAGTGAAGCCTGCGAAGCACTTTGAGACGTCCTCCTCGTGTGAAAGGCGCTATATCAAAGGCAAGGATTATTATGATGAATTTTGCGTTCATATGCAGCCTTTCACGTCAGGAGGCGTCTCAAAGCAATTCACCGAACCGGCTGGGAAGGTGGCCAAAAGCGCAGTCGAAAAGAAAGGTCTTTAAGACCGGATCCCATCACAGCGTCAAGCTGCTTTTTAAATGCGTTCCAGTGTCCTGGCCTCAGCCACACTTCCTGATAACCCTGTTCCTATCGTTAATTCGCTTCTGTGTAAAGAAACACTTACAATAAAATATTAATAATGCTTGCATTTGAGATAGCGCCTTATCACCTCTTCGGGATGTCTCAAAGTGCTTCACAGATTGTACTGCAAAATCAATTGACTGTATTATATTTGTGGGTGAAACGCGGCAGCCAATTGTGCGCAGCAGCGTCCCACAAACAGTCGTGGATTGAAGTGACTAATTTATTATAATAATAATAATAATCCTTGCATTTGATATAGCGCTTTTCACATCGGGAGGACACACTTTAAAGTGAATTGACTGTATATTTGTGGGCGAACGCGGCAGCCAATTGCGCACAGCAATGTCCCACAAACAGTCGTAGATTGAAAATGACCAATTTATTATTGTTTTTTTCTTGTGGGATTATTATCAGGTGTGTCCCTTTACACCTCCAAACCTGTGTCCTCTTGATCTAGTGTCTCGGTGATTCCAACCGTAATGATCTGGGTTCACTTTTTCAGAGCACTCCCCTTGCAAGTGAGAGGACCCAGATCCGATTCCCGGGCAGGGCAAAACCTTCGGCAAGTTTCCTTACTCCACACGCCTCTGTTTACCTAGAAGTAGGTAGGAACCTGTTAGTCGATTGGCGGATCGCTTTCGGGGGGTAATAATCCCTCGAAAAAAAAATATTATTTGTTCATTCAATCCCCGACTGTTGTGGGACACTGCTGTGCGCAATTGGCTGTCGTGTTTCACCCACAAAATAAACGGTCAATCCCCTGTACAATATTTTCTATGGAGCACTTTGTGACGTCTCAATGATGCGATACGTTGCTGTATCAAATGCAAGGATTATTCTGATGATTATTAATTTCTGCGGTGACTGGGAGTGGGATCTCACCAGACCAGTGATTTTGTCTGGAGGATCTTATTTCGGTTCCACAAGTATGTTTCCTGAAATAGAGTTTCTAATTTTGAAGGTTCTGTGGAAAATAAAACCACATGTTCCCTCTCGATCTCTCTCTCTATCTCTCTCTCTCACACACACACACAATAAATTGTAGGACATTTGTATTTTATATGCCACCTTATCATGCTTAAACCATCTCAAAGCACTTCACAGCAAATAACATCAGGCTTTGGTGAGCAAATTCGGAGCTCATCTTGGTCTCAGCAACAGTCTGCAAACAGCCTTGAGCTGGAATGACAAAGTTAAACCCAGAACAATATTTTCGGAATAAGACGAAAAGGGTTTGGAGTTGCAAGGGGGCGATTTCAGTACAAACGCCAGGATATTATTTACAGACCCTTCGGATTAGTTGTTAAACCGAGGTCCCGTCTCCGATTTTTCGGGTGGACATTAAAGATCCCGCAGAGCTATTCGAAAAGAGCCAACAAATAAAATTGCTCACTCACTCCGCAGCTTCTTGTGGGACATCACTGTGCACAAACGCGCTCATAAAATACATAGCGTCAGACCGCTTTACGCTAAATCCTGTGAAGCGCTCCGAGACGTCTCGAAAACGTGACAGGTTCTATATCAAATGCAGGCATTATCATTGCTGTGTGTGAAAGCACTGCCACGATGGCTACAAATACACGGTCACTACACTTTACAATATATCCTGTCAAGCGCTTTGAGACGTCTCAACGACGTGAAGGGGGATGTACCAATGCAAGGAGAGGGTAATTAACGACTGGAACAGGGTTACCGGGGAGGGGGTTTGAGGCCAGGACACTGGGACTCATTTAATGTGACGGTGGGAGGAGAACAAATGGGCCAAAGGGTCTTCTTCATTTGAACTGATCTTGTGAATGAAGGATTTATTGGCTTTTTATGTCTCACCTGAAGGACGGCACCTCCAACATTGTAGCACTCCCCCCCCGCACGCCCCCACTCCACCCCCACCCGCAGTGACACATAGCACAGTGGTTAGTGCACTCGCCTCACAAGCGAGAGGACCCGGGTTCAATGCCCCGGCAGGCGAAACCTCGGCAAGTTTCCTTACCCCACACACCTGGCAGTAAGTAGGAACCCAGCTGTCAAGTTGATTGACAGATCGCTTTCCGGGGGTAATAATCCCCCCCCCCCCCACCACCACAAAATACACAGTCAATTCACTTTACAGTGTATCCTGTGAAGCGTTTTGAGATGTCTCAATGATGTGATGAGGCACTATACCAAATGCAAGGATTATTATTATGATTGCAATGGAGGGACAGCCTCCATGATGCGAGTTGACTTGGGGGCTTGAACCCACAAATGACGGAGCCAGGCTGGACAGGAACGCACATTGGGACTTATATCCCTCTCCTCCCCCTGACCCCCTTTCCCTCCTCCGACCCCCACACCCAACCCCCCCCCCCGGTAACATCAACTAACGCACTAAATAGTGCTCCCAGCCTCAGGAACTGTGAACAGTGGATTAAAGATGCCTTTGATCAACTCTAACCCCCCACGTCCCCACCTTCCGAAATGTTTTGCACCTGGAAAAGATTTTTAAAGTTCTCCGGGAGATGAAAGTACCCGAAAGTAAAACCAGAACACGGCAAAGGAAGGAAAGAACATTCTAAGAGCCTCGGAGGCTTGGGGCTGCTCTTTTTGGACACCTCGAAAACACGATAAGGTATTGCTTTATCAAATGCAAGGATCATTATCATTATTATCAAGGTTATCTCAAGACTTTCCCCTATGACCGTGCCTTTGGCCAGCGCCACATAAACACAATTTGTTGTTGACGATAGCATCTTATCACATCGTCGAGATGTCTCAAGAGAGTTTCACTGTAAAGTGGTGCGACTGTGAATGCTTTATTAAATCTGCTTTTTATTTTCGGACGTGTGCAAGCGACTGCCAGGAAGGTGGAAAGCAAACTGGATGGACCGTGGTCTTCTTTCATCTTGCTGCTGTTCTGTTCTTATTTAAAAACTGCTTCTTTGCCTCCCCCCTTCTTTACCCCATCCTTTCGCCCTCCCCTCTCCTCCTCCCCTCCTTAAAAACGAAGCCTCTCTCTTTTTCTTCAATTTCTCAATCACCGAGGGAATCACACTGCACAAATTGGCCGCCGCACTCACCCAAAACGTCCAGGCGTTGCGCTGTGCAGTAAAATCCCGTGAAGCTCTTTGGAGACGAGGTGATAAGGCGTTACATCGAATGTAAGGATTATTGTGAACAAAAGTAATAAGCCCTCAAAAGTGGTCACACAAATCCACCAGTTTGTGGGACGCTGCTGTGCGCAATTGGCTGTGTTTTGCCCAGAAAATATAGTCAATTCACTTGACAGTATATCCTGTGAAGCGCTTTGAGACGTCTCGAAGATGTGATAAGGAGCTGTATCAAATGCAATTAGTATTATTATTATTATATCAATGCATGGATTATTACTGTATTACGCTTCCAATCATCCGGCACCATCGTGTGGACAGATGTGGAGATGCAACCACCGATTCATTTCATTCCTGGAGCAATAAGAATTATTATATTATTGTTCGATCCTGACTGCCCCCCTCCCTCCCCAATTTCAAAGCCCACCTCAAGATTTACCTCTATCGTAAGAGCCCATTCTTGGCGGTGGCCTATACCCTGTGTCCTGAACCAGGCAGTCGGGGTATCTGCTGGATTCGAACCAGCTCCAATAATGTGCCATTGATATCACTGTCTGGTAAGTTTTCCCGCTGGTTGTCCAGTGAGGACCACCTTGCCTGCGGGAGCTGAAGATGTCGTGGGTCAGTCACTCGGATCAGACCTGTTCTGCCTCCTTGAGCCTATCATCCCCACCCTCGCTCCTCATTCCCACCTTTAAATCCCTCCACAACTTACCCCCACTCCCCCGCAAACCCACCACCACCTGTGATCTCATCAAGCTCACCTTCCCCCCGCCCCACACACCCCACCATTTTCAGGCTGTTTGTCCCCATTCTCAGGAACTCCGTTCCAGAACCCCTCCCCCCAGACTTGTTTGCTTCTTTCCTCCTTCAACGTCAGTCTCAACACCTACCACCTCTTCCCCCACCCACCCTCTCGCTCAGCTCCCCCCTCCCCTCTCAGCTCAGGTCCCCAGCCGTACGTTAAGCGCCTTGGGACATGCTCCCGACGTGGAAGGTGGGGTCGGGACGTTACCCCACACGAAGCTCACTACGTACATGCAAAGGGAGAAGAAACAATGAGAGCAATAGGGCAAACACAGAGTGAACGTCAGTGGAGACACATTCCCTTCAGTGTCGCCTTGTTTATTTTAACTGAATCTAAATCCAATCTGAATCGGGAGCAACGTGGTCACTAAAAACATGTCGTTGCCCCCCCCAGGCTGACGGTCACGCCCATGGGAAGGGGGCACTGGGTATAATACAGAGGATACAAACAGGGCTATGATACAAGGTATTTACAGGCAGATTAATGTAATCGTGTCTCGAGAGGGGCTGAGGGCAACCGGGACGACGAGGGACGGCGGAGAAGAACATTGCCATCACGTGGACAGAGCTCGCTGGCCGTTGGGGGTCGCTGAGGGTCACGTTGTCAGGGGGTTGGGGGTGGGGGGGGGGGGAATAGAAGGGGAGCGGGAGGGGGAGAACCAGGAGAGAAAGAGGTGAGAGTTCCACTCCCACCTCCCCCCCACCACTCTCTCCGTCTCTCTCCCGCCGCCCCCTTTCTCTCACCCGTGGCCCCCGGGCTATTTCTCCAGCTGCTCAGAGGTACTGAATGCCTCGTACACGTTGGCGGCGAAATCTTTCACCTGATCCATCATCAGCAGGTCCTGCGTGGGAGAGAATAACAGCGAGTGACAACAAGAAGTTACATTTACACGGCGCTTTCATGTCGGGAGGACGTCCCAAGGCGCTGGACAGTCAGGGATTTGGACCCGAGCTGGGGGTTGGGATCAGGAGGGGGTGGAGGGAAGGGAGGGTGGGGGTAGGAGGGTGGGTGAAGGCGCGGTCGAAGAAAAGGGTCGAGACGTGACTTGAAGGAGGCGAGGGATGGAGCGAGCTGGGCGCAACTGGGCTTCACGATCACCTACACGCACGCACTACATTTTACATGTATGCTGTGAAGCGCTTTGAGACACCCTCCTGATGGGAGAGGCCCTGTACCAAATGCAAGGATAATTATTATTATTGTGATGGTCTTTTCCCCCCTCATCGTGTCCGTGCTGGTGCTCGCTTCCCCCACGGGGAGTCCCACCGGGCACAGGAGGGGTTGAGGGAGATGTCAGGGTCGGGAGGGAGGGACGGAGGGAGGCTGGCACTCACCTGAACAAAGTGGCTGGGAGTCTCGCTGCAGGTGGCGTGCATCTGTCCGTTAATAATCGGGATGATTTTGGCCAGAGGCAGACTGACGCTGGACAAGCTGTGGGGGAGAGGGAGGTGTGGGGAGAGAGGGGGAAGAGGGTGCCACGGAGAAGAGAGGGGAGGAGAGACACCAAGTAATGAGCTCAAGAGACAGCTTGGACTGAGAGCTGAGGTAGAGCCTGGCTCGCTCCCCACTCCACTACCCGCTGCCCCGCGCTCGGCTGGCTCGGGTCTCCCGCTCGCCGCTCCTATCCTCCGCTCCACCATCAGCGACCGCGCTTTAAGGCCAATACGCCCGAAGCTTCAGAACTCTCTCCCCCACCAATCCCTCCGCCTCACCCCCTCCTTTCAGGTCGCGCCCGAAGACCTCGCTCTTCAACCGTGCATACGGTCACCTCCCTCCCCCACCCCTCCGTCTCAGCGTCAAGCGCTCTGGCTGAGGGGCGCTGTATAAATGCAGGTTGTTGTTGTTGTTGGTGTTGGTGGTGTGCTCCACACACGCCCAGCGGCAGTCACTGACCTGGTAATCTTGCCGTTGGGAGTCAGCTCGTGCTCTGTGGGTCTGAAGAACTCGGCAATGTTATCCAGCAGACGGCTGAAGCCTCGTGTCAGACAGGAGCTCAGCACAGTGGAGAAGTCACAGCTGCCGACACACAAACACACGCACACACAGACTTACACAACGGCCAGAACATCAATCACCTCTCAAAGCGACTGCACAGGCGACATCTTGTCAAATCCAGTCCTTCGGATCAGATGTTAAACCCTCTGCCTGTTCTGGTGGACGTTAAGATCCAGCTCATTCAGACTCTGCCGCCCGTACACTGACCCAGACCAAACTCCGCACCCACGGCTCACCGGCTCTGGCCCAGGCTCCACTGGCTCCCCGTCACCAAACGGATCGACTTCGAGATCCTCACACACTCGGTGTTCAAATCCCTTCGCTCCCTGGCTCCTCCCTACCTCCCCGACCTCCTCACTCCCCAATCGACTGGCACCGGCCTCCTGCTCGTCCCTCGCACCCTCCCCCCCACCATTGGAGGTCGCGCTTTCAGCCCCGAAACTCTGGAACACTCTCCCTCTCCCCTCTTTCAAGTCCTGCCTGAAAACTTTCCTCTTCGACCGTGCTTACAGCCACCTTCCCCACCCCCACCCCCCGGCTCGGAGTCAGGCTCCCCCACTGTTAAGCGCTCTGAGACGCTGCCCTGTGTGGAAGACGCTATAGAAGTGCAAGTTGTCGTTGTAAAAGATCTCATCGCTCTACTTGAGGAGAGAAGGGAGTTTCTCTCTCCCAGTTCCTGGCCAACTGTCCTGGGTCACTGTCCGCCCGAACAGGCAGACGGAACCTCGGTCTAACATCTCACCTGAAGGACGGCACCTTCGACAATACACTGCAATGGAGTGTCACCTTAGCGCCGCGTGATTCCAAGTCCCAACCCGGGGCTCGAGCCCACAACCGTCTGAATCGGAGTCGAGAGCATTCCCGACTGAGCCGGGCTGACACCTGGCAGCTCGGGTCATCGTATGAAAACGTTTGCCGTCACTGAGGTCACTTGCACGCGCTCGCTCTGCGCAGAGAAACCGCTGACGTGTCTCGCTCCGCAAGGCTTTGGATCGTCAGCAGGACCTGGAAGTGCAGACCAGTCGCTGGGGGCAGGGAATCCTCCCACTCAGCCCCTGTTAACCCTGCAAGCCAAAGCCCTGAAGGCTAGGGTGGTTCTAGCTGGACAAGCAGCAGGAAATGCCTAAGATCGGAAGATAGTCTATCCCTCCAGATTTTCTCTCTCTCTCGCTCCGTGTCAGAGATTGATCTTTGTCTCTAAGATCGGAGTCCGTCGGTCTTTCTCTCTCTCTCTCTGGTCAGAGGCCCTACACCCTCGTACACACCTCTCCAGCATGTCTCTCGTCTCGTTCAGTAGTTTGATCGTGGTCTTGTCTTTGTCTGTCAATCCGCAGGCCTGCAGCGAGAACAATAATCTGCAGTTCACGTCCTGTACACACGCCTTTCTCTCTTCCTGACCCCTGCCCGCCCACATACATACAAACACCCCACACACACACACACTCACATCCCCACACACACACACGCGCGCGCCCCAGACACATACACATACACACACGACACACACAAGGCACACACACGTGCACGCCACACACAACACACGCACACACGCCACAAACACCACACACACACATATGCCACACACACGGTCGCTGTAGTTAGCTGCTTGGGTACCTGTGAGGCGAGTGTGTCGTCCTCGTCAGGGATCAGGTAGCGGCAGAGCGGGGACCTGGTGCTGGGCCGCTCCATATTCCGGGAATGTCGTCTCTCAATCTGCTCCCGGATCGTCCGGATGTGATGCTCCAGATCCACAAGTGTCAAGGACTGTTTCAGGGAGATGCTGGGCAACAGCAGGACATGTCAGTCACTTACAAACACACACACACATACATACACACACACACAGTAACAACAGGTCAGTCAGTCACACACACACACGCTGTGTAACAACAGGTCAGTCAGTCACACCCACACACAGTGTAACAACAGGTCAGTCAATCACACACACACACACAGTAATAGCAGCCAGTGTCAGTCACACACACGCAGAGAGAACACTGGTGCAAGGTAAAGTTCACGAACACATGGAGAGATGCTGTGCAGGACAGAGTCAGTCGCATGCAGAGAAAGCGAGCGAGAGAGAGAAGCTCCAGCACTCACCCCCCAATCACCTCCCGCACGGCCTGCTTCACCACCGTCACCAGCTCACTCAAACCTAGCTCACAGAGAGAGGGAGAGAGAGAGAGAGAGAAGCCGGGAGTGAACACAGAATATGAAACTGATTATTTCAACACAAAGAAGGGGAAATAAATAATAATCATCATAATCCTTGGATTTGATACAGCGCCTCATCACGCCATCGAGATGTCTCAAAGCACTTCACAGGGTATATTGTAAAGTGAACTGACTGTGGATTTTGTGGGCGAAACGATTCCAGCGCTCTTAAGCGCTCAGAAACACTCCCCTGCGTGAACAACAACAAGTGACCTTCACGCAGTGCCTTTCACGTCGGAAGGACGTCCCGAGGAGATGGATAGTCAGGGATATGGACCCAAGCTGGGGGTTGGGATCAGGAGGGGTGGAGGGAAGGAAGGGTGCGGGTAGGAGGGTGACACAAGGTGTCTTGCCAGGCAGAGGATGGTGGAAGTGGAGGAGTGAGCGGGAGTAATGTAGGGTAGAGGGCAGGGATTGGGGCCTTTTGGGGCAAAGGTCGCTGTATAAATGCAAGTTTTGTTGGGGAAAAGCGAAGGCTGAACAAGTGTGCAGGCAGCGCTGACACTTACCATCCCCGAGGAGGTGCTGTATACTAGATAGGTATTGCTGCTGGACTTCAGGGGGAGCCTGTGTCTGCGGAGAGAGGGAAGGAGAGAGAGAGGGAGGGTGAGACAGACAGAGAGAGACAAGGCAGAGGGACAGAGCAGAGTGAGGGAGAGAGAGCAAAGTAGAGAAAGACAGAGGGAGGGAGAGAGACAGGGATAGAGAGAGAGACAGAGAGGGAAACAGAGAGGGGGGGAGAGAGAGACACAGACAGACAGACAGACAGACAGACAGACAGACAGACAGACAGACAGACAGACAGACAGACAGACAGACAGACAGACAGACAGAGACGCAGACAGACAGACAGACAGACAGACAGACAGACAGAGAGGAGAGACACACAGAGAGAGAGACAGACAGAGAGAGAGAGACGGACAGACAGATAGAGAGAGAGACAGAGACAGAGAGAGCAGAGGGAGAAACAGAGATAATAATAATAATCCTTGCATTTGATATAGCGCCGTATCACGTCATTGAGACATAACATAACATGTCTGAGGAGTAGGCCATTCGGCCCTTCGAGCCTGCCCCGCCATTCAATCATGGCTGATCTTCTAATCTAACTCCAGCTAATAACCTGACGCTGCCTTAGCCCCATATCCCTTAATCCCTTTTGCAATAAGAAATCTATCTCAGTCTTGGATATGTTCAAGGACTGAGCGTCAACAGCCCTTTGGGGTAGTGAGTTCCATACATTCACTGCACTTTGAGTGAAGAAGTTCTTCCTCCACTCAGTGAAAGGGTTGGCCTCTGATTTTAAGGTTGTGACCCCTGGTTTTAGTTTCTCCAACCGGGGAAACAATCTCCCACTATCTACTCTATCATTGCCCTTTGGTGATCTTATAGGTTTCTATAAGATCCCCTCTAATTCTTCTATATTCTAGAGAATATAGGCCCAAATTGGTCAGCCTATCCTCGTAACTCATCCCCTTCATCCCGGGTACTAACCCAGTAAATCTACGCTGCACCCCCTCTAAGGCAAGTACATCCTTCCTTAAATGAGGAGACCAAAACTGCACACAGTATTCCAGGTGTGGTCTCACAGGGCCCTATACAGTTGCAGCAAGACTTGCCTACTCTTATACTCTAATCCTTTCATAATGAATGTTAACATACCGTTCGCCTTCCTAATTGCTGCAGCACCTGCAGACTAACTCTCTGTGATTGGTGTACAAGGACACCCGAGTCCCTCTTATTTTACTTTATTCTTTCCCTAACCTCTCTAGTTAGTCAAGGTTAGGACACATTCCAATCTCTCCCCTTCTAAAAAATAACCCGCTCTACTGTTTTTGCTCCCGAGATGGATGACTTTGCACTTCCCTACATTATACTTCATCTGCCACCTACCTGCCCAATCAACCTAACCTCCAACCTATCTATGTCGCGCTGCATTTTTTTAATGTCGTCCTCTGTGTTGACACTTCCTCCTAGTTTTTTTGAGACGTCTCAAAGCGCTTCACAGGATATACTGTAAAGTGGTTTGCCTGTGTATTTTGTGAGTAAAATACCAGAGACGTGAACCCACATCCCGTGTGACTGGGAGGAGAGAGTGATTACCAGACTCAGCCAGGCTGTCACACCAGCCATCTCCCTTGTAAACATCCCAATCATCTCGGCCTCTGCAGCCTTACAAGGACCCAGGACATGTATCGCATCTGTTCAGATCCCTACACATCTAACGTCTAGATCCCTACACCTCCCACGTCTACACGTCAAGTCACACGGCATTTAGATACTGCATAGAGTTGCGGTCACCGCGACGTACGGGAGAAGCTGCCGAGACCGTTGATTCAGTGCAGAGAAGAGCAGGAACTTGTCGGGGGGAGGGGGGGAGCTGTAGGAGATCTAGGGGTTTGAGTTGTCTCATCGCTCACCATGTCAAAACAATGCGAGGCAACAATAAACAAGGCAAACAAGAAGCTGTTACTGCTAAATCTGCTGAGTTCAGATCCCCAGATGTCCTATTCAGGCTGTACAGAGCTCTAGTCAGACCACACAACTGCATAGCGTTCTGGTCACCGGCCCCAGAGATCAGCGCAGAGAGAGCAAGGAGGCTGATCCCCAGTGTTAAAGAGAGATGAGCTGCGAGTGATGATTTAGACAAGCTCGGGCTCTTCAGTCTTGTGATAAAAGGACTCAGAGGGGATCTCATAGAGGTGCGTAACATTTCAGACGGAATGGGACTGAAAAGGTAAACCCAGATCATTACGTTCGGATGCATCAAGACAGCGGAACGAGAGGACGCAGGTTTAATGGTGGAAAGAGCAATTTCAGGACTCAGGGGAGGACATTTTTCTTTATAAAGAGGGTAATTATATCAAATAACAAGGGGAGGGTAATCAATCACTGGGACAGGTTGACAGGAAGGGGCGCTGAGCCCAGGACACTGGGACTCATTTCAAAGCAGCTTGATGCTGTGATTGGTGGGGGTGGGGGGGGGGGAGCGGTAGTGTGGGTGTTCTGGAGGGAGGAGATCAAATGGGCCAAAGGGCCTTATTCACCCCGGACTATCTAATTATCTTGCGAATGGCGGTGAATGCTGCAGGAGTTATACAGTATCTGCTGCATCTTTCCCCCTGTGTTGTGGCGCCGCCTCGTGGAGCGTTCTGAATACTGCGGGGCTTCCTCCCACAGTGATAACAATTCCCAGTGTTTCACAGGTTCCCGGGTGACACGTTTTATTAAGGATAAGAACAGCAATAATCCTCGCCTTTGATATGGCGCCTCATCACGTCATTGAAACGTCCCAAAATTTGAGTGGATTGACCGTATATTTTGTGGGCGAAACGCAGCAGCCAATTGCGCGCAGCAGCGTCCCCACAAACAGCCGTGGAATGAGCGACCGAATTTATTTACTTAGTTATTTGATGGGATTATACCCCTGAAAAGGTGTCGTCCTGCCCGGGAATCGAACCCGGGTCTCTCGCTCGCGAGCCGAGCGCTCTAACCACTACGCTGCAGGCCTCCACTGCACATAATCACTCATGTGTGGGCGTTGCTGGCACAGACTGTGGCAGGGAGACTCTGCCACTGCCCCAGCGAGCCGCCGTCCGGCCTGTTTACTCACAGCGACATTCTTGCCCATGGCTGCGTTGTCCAGGTAGATGTAGCCCCCGATGATGTTCAGCTGCACTCTCAGCAGGACCACCAGCATACACGTGCTGTACACAGCCACCAGGCCCCGGCTGAAACCTGTAACCAGCAGGGCAGTGAGCCAACACAGGCAGATTCACCCACCACTGGTCAATCAACCACACTCCCCAGCTCACACACGGCACGAGTTAGATGCACAGTAACACTCCCTCTACACTGTCCATCCAGCACTCGCGGGTCACACACCACACGAGTTAGATAATAATAATAATAATAATCCTTGCCTTTGATATAGGACCTTATCACATCGTCAAAATGTCTCAAAGCGCTTCACAGGATACTCTGCAAAGTGAACTGACCGTATTTTGTGGGCGAAACACAGCCGCCAATTTGCACTCAGCAGCGTCGCACCAGCAACTCATAATTATATAGCGCCTTTCACGTTGGGAGGACATCCCAAGACCCTGGGCAGCCAAACATGAGTGCATGACCAATATTCTTTTTATTCGGCAGATTTGTTGGCCAGGACACCGGGACAGAGAAATTCCCTTCTCTTTTCGAATAGCGCCACAGGATCTTTGACATCCACCTGAACAGGCAGACGGGACCTCGGTTTAACGTCTCCTCCGAAAGACGACACCTCCCGACAGTGCAATACCCCCCAGAAGTGCATTGGAGCATCAGCTTAGACTGTGTCACTCCCAAGTCCTGACATGGGGCTTGACCTCACAACCTTCTGACTCAGAGGCGAGAGAGAGAGAGAGAGAGCGCTGCCACTGAGCCAGGCTCACACACACACACACACATTGTTCTGTCGCTAACATCAGTAAATGAATTGTAACAATGAATTACTTATGATCTTCAGATCCTCCCAGATCTCCAACTTGTTCGCTGGTCTATGGAGAGAGAGAGAGAGAGACAGTAAATATCATTGAAACTTCAAACACATGGACACATTCAAAGACAAGCCAACCAGAAACACAAAGGCCGTCAGCACAGAAGGAGACCATTCAACCCATTGTGAGGTGAGTGGGGTCTCCTCAGAGCTGAACTGGCTCCAAGGTGACATGTTTGGCAACAGAGAGTCAGGATTGAGCCAACAGTATTCCAGGGCACTGCTGATGACAGCACAGCCCGGCCTGGCTCATTGGCAGGACCTGGAAGGGCAGACTCGGCACTGGGGGCAGGGAATCCTCCCTCTCAGCTCCTGTTAATCCTCCGAGCCAAAGCCCTAATGGATAGGGTGGTCCTAACTGGACAAGCAGCGGGAACGGTTGCCGGACAGCGATATCAGCAATGTGGTTTCAGCTGGTGAGACCCCAGCAGTTACCCCAACGCACACTCTGGGGTCCCCAAGTCTTGGCTCTTGCTAACTTGTGCTCAATTCCAGGCAGGGCGAAACCTTGGGCAAGTTTCCTTACTCCACACAGAGCCTAATAATAATCCATCCAAAAAACCAAAAACAATAATAAATTGGTCATTTTCAATCTACGACTGTTTGTGGGACATTGCTGTGCGCAATTGGCTGCCGCGTTCGTCCACAAATATACAGTCAATTTATTTACAGTGTGTTCTGTGAAGCGCTTTGGGACGTCCTCCCAACGTGAAAAGCGCTATATCAAATGCAAGGATTATTATTATTATTATTAATAGCCTCTGGAATCCTCTCAGGATGTGTCCCACCAGGGAGAGAGAGCACATTCCACTCCAGCAATCTATCCCTGGGATTTCCATGTGTAGGTGGGATGCGTGGAATTCTCAGTTTGGTTTGGATACTCTTAAGCAACGGTGATGGGTTTCCACATGTCAGACACCCGGCTGAGCAAGAAATAGTGTCACAGTTGCCTCGGGTTTATGACGTATATATTTTATATGGAAATCACAGACTCAAACGCTCACACCCCTCTGGACCCATATAAGGGTTTCAGTGAGAATCTCTCTCTTTCTCTCTCTCACACACACTTCTGGCCTCTCTCTCTCTCTCTTTTGGTCATGCACACACTCCCTGATTCTATCGGTGTTGGGAGTGTGATATTCTACGTCTCTCTCTCTCTCTCTCTCTCTCACACATTCACACACTCCTGGACTTAATCTTTGTTGGAGTGTGACATTCTGTGTGTGTCTCTCTCTCTCTCTCGGGCTCTTTCTCTCTCTCTCTCACGCACACTCTGCACTCTACCTGTGTTAGGAGGTGACATTCTCTCTCTCTCTTTCACTCAGACACTCCTGGTCTTTCTCTCTCTCTCTCCCCCCACCGTACCTGTTTTTGAGGAGGGCTGTGAGACTCTCTGAGTTGAGCTGTTGCATGATGGCTTCTCGCAGTGTTGGTAGCATGGACAGCACTGTGGGGACAGAGAGGGAGACAGACATCATCATCATCATCATCAACAACGACTTGCATTTATATAGCACTCCTCACACAGGGTAGTGTCCCGGGTCCCATTCACACCCCCTCCTGCACTGTGAGAGAGGCGGGGGCTCCAGCCCAGGTGAAAAAGAGAGAGGGAGGAGTGTCTTGAGCCGGGGGATCAGGGAGAGCTCTATCTAGGAGAGCCCTGAGGGCAGAGAGGGGAGAAGGGGGAGGGCTCTCCCAGGAAGCTAGAGAGGGGAGCGTTCTCCCGGGAAGACAGACAGAGAAAGGGAGGTGTGTATTGGGGAGTTAGAGCGAGGAGCGAGGGGAACAATCGATCTCGGGGAGCCGGACATTGAGGATAGCACTCTCTCCGGGAGACAGAGAGGGAGGAGGGCTCTCCGGGGAGAGAGACAGAGAGGGGGAAGGGGGCAGGAGTGTTCTCTTGGGGAGACAGAGAGAGAGAGAGAGAGAGAGAGAGAGGGTGGGGGGCGAGAGAGGGTGGGGGGGGAGGGGGGGAAAGGGGAGTATTGGGGAGACAGACGAGGGGGGGGAGCGAGTGGGGGGAGAGCGAGGGAGAAGTGTTGGGGTGACAGAACGAGGGGGGGCGAGAGGCAAGTGTTGGGGAGACAGAGAGAGTGGGGGGGGGAGGGGGAGGCAGAGGGGGGGGTGGGGGGGTGTTGGGGAGGCAGAGAGAGGGGGGGAGGGAGTGTTGGGGAGACAGAGAGAGAGGGGGGGGTGGTGTTGGGGAGACAAAGATGGCCTGGATGTCCAGCTCTCTTACCGTCATGTTACACGTGCGTTGGTTGCTCTCGAAGTGGAACTGGCGCCGGGCCTGGGAGATGTATTCCGCCGCCTCGTGCTCCTGGAGCTCCCGGAGCTTCCGCTGAGCGTATTTACCCAACAGATACACACCTGGGAGAGCAGCAACGGCACTCGCTTAGCATCCATTACTACTCGCTCACCCTCTCATATATTTACACTCCCTCTCCCCCTCAGTCCCCGTCTCTCCCTCGTCCCCCCTCAACCCCCGTCTCTCCCTCGTCCCCCTCAACCCCCGTCTCTCCTCGTCCCCCTCAACCCCCGTCTCTCCCTCGTCCCCCCTCAGCCCCCGTCTCTCTCTCTCTCCCTCGTCCCCCTCAGCCCCCGTCTTTCCCTCTCCCACATCCCCGTCTCTCCCTTTCCCTCGTCCCTCAGCCTCCATCTCTCTTCCTCTCCCCCCTCAGCCCTCGTCTCTCCCTCGTCCCCCCACAGCCCCCATCTCTCCCTCAGCCCCCGTCTCTCCCTCTCCCTCATCCCCCCTCAGCCCCGTCTCTCTCTTCCTCTCCCCCTCAACTCCTGTCTCTCTCTCCCTCTCCCACCCCAGCCCCCGCCTCTCCTCTCCCACCCCCAGCCCCCGTCTCTCCCTCTCCCACCCCCCGTCTCTCACCCTCACACATTTCGCCCACAAAAATACACAGTCAATTCACTAGACGGTGTATCCCGTGAAGCGCTTTGAGACGTCTCGAAGACATGAAAAGACGCGATATCAATTGCAGGATTATTATTGTTATTATCATCATCATCACACTCCCTCTCCTCCTCGTCTCTCCCCTTCCCCCTCCCTCAGCCCCCGTCTCTCAGTCTGTCCCGCGCTCTCTTTAAAATATTAATAATCCTTGCGTTTGATCCAGGGCCTCACAGCACCTTCGAGACGTCTCAAAGCGCTTCACAGAATACGCTGTAAAGTGAATTTGCTGTGTATTTTTTGGGGGGTGAAACGCGGCAGCCAATTGCGCACAGCAGCGTCCCCACAAACAGCCGTGGGCGGAAGTGACCCAAATTATTATTGTTTTTGAACGGATTATTACTCCCGGAGTCAAGTCTCTCTCTCTCACACACACTCACTCTCTGACTCTCTCCCTCTCTCTCTGTCTCTCTCTCTCACATTCTATCTCTTACCCTCTCACTTTCTCCCTCACTCTCAAACTCACCCGCTTTCAACGCTCCCTCTCGCAGTCTCTCCCTCACACACTCTCTCCCTCACACATTCTCTCTCCCTTACAACAACATTTGAATTATAGAGCGTCTTTCACGTCGGGAGGACGTCCCAAGGCGCTGTACAGTTGGGTCAGGACCCGAACAAGGGGGAAATGGTCAGGGTGAGGGGAGGGAAGGAGGGAGAGAGGAGGGGGGAAATGGTCAGGGTGAGGGGAGGGAAGGGAGGAGCGAGGAGGGGAGAGAGTCGAGAGGGGAGCTGAAGGCTCGGTCAAAGAGAAAGGTTTGAGACCGGCCTTGAAGGAGGAAAGGGAGGAAGCGGCGAAGGCACTGGGGGATAGAGTTCCAGAGCCTCGGGGCTGAGAGGCTGAAGGCCCGCCACCGATGGTAGGGCGGTTGGGGCGGGGGACGTGGAGCAGACCGGAGCCAGAGGAACGGAGGGTACGGGCAGGTAGGTAGGGGGATAGTAGGTTGGAGAGGTAGGAGGGAGCGAGGCCGTGAATGGCCTTGTAGGTGAGGATGAGGATCTTGAAATCGATCCTCTGGGGGATGGGGAGCCAGTGGAGGCGAGCGAGGGTGGGAGTGATGTGGTCGCGGTGCTGGTGCGGGACAGTACACGAGCTGCAGAGTTCTGAATGACCTGCAGTGTGGAGGGAGGTGGCGGGAAGGCCGGCGAGGAGAGAGTTCCCATAGTCCAGCCTTGAGGTGACAAAGGCGTGACCAGGTTTCAGCCGCGTGAGGGGTGAGGTAGTGCCGTAGTCTGGCGATGTTCCGGAGGTGATGGAAGGCGGTGCCAGTTGTGGTGCGGATGTGAGGGAGAAAGGACAGCTCAGGGTCGAACAAACCCGAGGTTCCTGACTGGCTTTGAGAGGTGGAGAGTGCAGCCTTGGATGCTGATGGTGTCAGCGCCTGAGGTGCGGAGGCGCTGACGTGAGCCAATCAGGAGGGCCTCGGTTTTTCGCACGTTGAGCTGAAGAAAGTTGTCTCTCGTCCAGGACTCGATGTCGGACAGGCAGCTGTCAGGACATCGGGGTCGTGGAGTTGAGAGTAGAGGAGGAAAGGTAGAGTTGGGTGTCATCCGCATACATGTGGAAGTTAACCCCATGTCTGCGGATGATGTCACCGAGGGGGAGCATATAGAGGGTGAAGAGGAGGGGACCGAGGACAGAGCCCTGAGGGACTCCACATGAGACAGTGCGGGGGGTGGAGGAGAAGCCACTCTCTCCCTCACACACTCTCTCCCTCACACTCTTTCTCTCCCTCACACTCTCTCTCCCTCACACACACCCTCCATTCCTCCCCACTTCACTCTCTCTGTCACATTCCCCCCTTCTCTCCCTCTCTCGGTCACACTCTCTCTCACACACTACCGCCCTCTCTCTCACACACTCTCTGTCACACTCCCTCACTCTCTCTCTCTCTGTCACTCTCTCTTCCTCCCTCTCACACTCCCTCTCTCCCTCCCTCTCTCTCACACACTCCCTCTCTCTGTCACACTCTCTTCCCCTCTCTCTCTCACACACACTCCCCCTCTCCCTCCCTCTCTCACTCCCCCCCTCTCTCTCACTCTCTCTCCCCCTCTGACCTCCCTCTCTCCGCCCCTCTGACCTCCCCCTCTCCCCCCCCCTCTCCCCCCCCACCGACCTCCCCCTCTCCCCTCCCCGACCTCCCCTCTCTCCCCCCCTCCCTCTCTTCCCCTCTCCCCCCCCTTGACTCCCCTCTCCCCCGCCTCTGACCCCCTCTCCCCCGCCTCTGACCCCCCTTCCCCCCCCCTGACCCCCCTCCTCCCTCCTCCCCCCCTCTCCCTGACCCCCCCTCCCTCTCCCCCCCTCTCTCTCCCCTCCCTCTCCCCTGACCCCCCCTCCCTCTCCCCCCCCTCTCTCCCCTCCCCTCCCCCCTGACCCCCCCTCCCTCCCCCCTGACCCCCTCTCCCCTGACCCCCCCCCTCCTCCCTCTCCCTGACCCCCCCCCTCCTCCCTCTCCCCTGACCCCCCCCTGACCTCCCAGCAGGACCCGGTGACGCCAGTTTGCGGCGGTGTCTCCTCACGAGGCCCCACACGGTTCCCAACATCTCGGCCCCGCGGCTTCAGCCGGAAACCCCGGGGCCGGACCGGAAGCTGCCGCGGGGACCAGTGACGTGACACAGACTTCCGGTCCAAACCCGGACTCCGGTTCCGGGGATTTCAGTTCCGAGAGAAACGGAGAGAGAGTGAGTGTGAGAGAGAGGGAGAGGGGGAGAGAGGGAGAGGGGAGAGAGGGAGAGAGAGAGAGAGAGAGGGAGAGGGGGAGAGAGGGAGAGGGAGAGAGAGAGAGTGTGAGAGGGGAGAGGGAGTGAGTGAGAGAGTGAGTGAGAGGGAGAGAGAGGGGGAGAGAGAGGGAGAGGGAGAGAGAGGGAGAGGGAGAGAGAGTGTGAGAGAGAGAGGGGGAGTGAGTGTGGGAGGGAGAGTGAGAGGGGGAGAGAGAGTGTGAGAGAGAGGGAGAGGGGGGGAGAGAGAGAGGGAGTGTGAGAGAGAGAGGGAGTGTGAGAGAGAGAGGGAGTGTGAGAGAGGGAGAGAGAGAGGGAGTGTGAGAGAGAGAGGGGGAGAGAGAGAGAGGGGAGTGAGAGAGGGAGTGTGAGAGAGAGAGGGAGTGTGAGAGGGAGTGTGAGAGAGAGAGGGGGAGTGTGAGAGGGAGTGTGAGAGAGAGAGGGGGAGTGTGAGAGGGAGTGTGAGAGAGAGGGGAGTGTGAGAGGGAGGAGAGGGGGAGAGAGGAGAGGAGTGTGAGAGGAGAGAGAGAGGGAGGAGAGGGAGAGAGAGAGAGTGTGAGAGGGAGAGTGTGAGAGAGGGAGAGGGAGAGAGAGGGGAGAGAGAGGGAGTGTGAGAGAGAGGGAGAGGGAGAGAGAGTGTGAGAGGAGAGGGGGAGTGAGAGAGAGAGAGGGAGAGTGAGAGAGGAGAGAGAGAGAGAGAGGGAGAGTGGGAGAGAGAGAGGGAGTGTGAGAGAGAGAGGGAGTGTGAGAGAGAGAGGAGTGTGAGAGAGAGAGGGAGAGAGAGAGGGAGTGTGAGAGAGAGGAGAGGGAGTGTGAGAGGGAGAGAGAGGGAGTGTGAGAGAGAGAGGGGGAGTGTGAGAGGGAGTGTGAGAGAGGGGGAGTGTGAGAGGGAGAGAGAGAGAGGGGGAGTGTGAGAGAGAGAGGGGAGTGTGAGAGGGAGAGAGAGAGAGGGGGAGTGTGAGAGAGGGAGAGAGAGAGGGGAGTGTGAGAGAGGGAGAGAGAGAGGGGAGAGGGGGAGTGTGAGAGAGGGAGAGAGAGAGGGGAGAGAGAGAGGGGGAGTGTGAGAGAGGGAGAGAGAGGGAGTGTGAGAGAGAGGAGAGGAGAGGGGAGGAGAGAGGGAGTGTGAGAGAGAGAGTGGAGAGAGAGAGGGAGTGTGAGAGGGAGAGAGGAGGAGTGAGAGAGGGAGTGAGAGGGAGAGGAGAGAGGGAGTGTGAGAGAGAGGGAGAGGGGGAGAGAGAGAGTGAATGAGTGTGAGAGAGAGTGTGAGAGGGAGAGAGGGAGTGTGAGAGGGAGAGAGGGAGTGTGTGAGAGAGAGGGGGAGAGGGAGAGTGAGAGGGGGAGAGGGAGTGAGTGTGAGAGGGGGAGAGAGAGAGTGAATGAGTGTGAGAGGGAGAGTGTGAGGGAGAGAGGGAGTGTGAGAGGGAGAGTGAGAGGGGGAGGGAGAGAGGGAGTGTGTGTGAGAGAGAGGGGGAGAGAGAGGGGGAGTGTGAGAGGGGGAGAGGGAGTGAGTGTGAGAGGGAGGGGGAGAGGGAGTGTGAGAGAGAGAGGGGGGGAGTGTGAGAGAGGGAGTGTGAGAGAGGGAGAGAGAGGGAGTGTGAGAGAGAGAGGGAGGGAGTGTGTGAGGGAGAGAGTGAGTGTGAGAGAGATTGAGTGTGAGGGGGAGAGAGAGAGAGTGAGTGTGAGAGAGAGGGGGGGGAGTGTGTGAGAGAGAGATTGAGTGGGAGAGTGAGAGAAGGGGGGGGAGTGTGAGAGAGGGGGAGAAAGAGGGGGAGTGAGAGTGAGAGGGGGTGAGCGCGAGAGAGGGAGTGAGCGCGTGAGAGGGTCAGAGGGAGTGAGCGTCAGAGGGAGTGAGCGTCAGAGGGAGTGAGCGTCAGGGAGTGAGCGCGAGAGAGGGGGTGAGCGCGAGAGAGGGAGTGAGCGCGTGAGAGGGAGTGAGCGTGAGAGAGGGTCAGAGGGAGTGAGCGTGAGAGAGGGTCAGAGGGAGTGAGCGTGAGAGGGAGTGAGCGTGAGAGGGAGTGAGCGTGAGAGGGGGTGAGCGCGAGAGAGGGAGCGAATGACTGAATGAGGGGGAGGGAGAACAGGATCTGCCCTGGGGAAGGAGGGAGGGAGGGAGTGAGTGGAGGGAGGGAGGGAGGGCTTCACTGAGGATGTGTATGTTAACCCTTTCCCGGGTGGGGGGGTGTGTGGGGGGTGTTACAGGTCGGCCTGTGGTTGGGGAATGGAGGTCTCAGACGGTTACCAGACGCCTGGGGAGCGGCAGCAGCAGCAATGGATGGACCAAGCCTTCAGCATGGTACAGATCAGCCCGGACACCGAGCGTCACACAGCTACAGGCGCTGAGCCTTCACACAGCAACAGGCGCTGAGCGTCCACACCAACAGGCGCTGAGCGTCCACACAGCAACAGGCGCTGAGCCTTCACACAGCTACAGGCGCTGAGCGTCCACACAGCTACAGGCGCTGAGCGTCCACACAGCTACAGGCGCTGAGCGTCCACACAGCTACAGGCGCTGAGCGTCCACACAGCAACAGGCGCTGAGCCTTCACACAGCTACAGGCGCTGAGCGTCCACACAGCAACAGGCGCTGAGCCTTCACACAGCTACAGGCGCTGAGCGTCCACACAGCTACAGGCGCTGAGCCTTCACACAGCTACAGGCGCTGAGCCTCCACACAGCAACAGGCGCTGAGCGTCCACACAGCAACAGGCGCTGAGCCTTCACACAGCTACAGGCGCTGAGCGTCCACACAGCTACAGGCGCTGAGCGTCCACACAGCAACAGGCGCTGAGCGTCCACACAGCAACAGGCGCTGAGCCTTCACACAGCTACAGGCGCTGAGCCTTCACACAGCTACAGGCGCTGAGCGTCCACACAGCAACAGGCGCTGAGCCTTCACACAGCTACAGGCGCTGAGCCTTCACACAGCGACAGGCGCTGAGCATTCACACAGCGACAGGCGCTGAGCGTCCACACAGCAACAGGCGCTGAGCCTTCACACAGCTACAGGCGCTGAGCCTTCACACAGCGACAGGCGCTGAGCATTCACACAGCAACTGGCGCTGAGCATTCACACAGCGACAGGCGCTGAGCGTCCACACAGCAACAGGCGCTGAGCCTTCACACAGCGACAGGCGCTGAGCGTCCACACAGCTACAGGCGCTGAGCCTTCACACAGCAACAGGCGCTGAGCATTCACACAGCGACAGGCGCTGAGCCTTCACACAGCGACAGGCGTCGTAGCTTTTATTCTGCGGCTTTTACGTGACAGACAGAATGAGGCCCCGAAGCACTTTGCAGAACACGGGACACACTGTAAAGTAATTTGACTGTATATTTCGTGGGCCAAACGCGACAGCCAATTGCGCGCAGCAGCGTCCCCACAAACAGCCGTGGATTGAAGTGACCGATTTATTATTTATTTTTTTGAAGGCATTATTACCCCCGTGAAAAGCGATCCGACAACGGACTAACAACCGGGCTTCTGCTTCCTGCTGGGTAAACCGCGCCGCGTGGCGGAAGGAAACTTTACCCGAGGTTTAAGCCCCGTCCGGGGGAATCGAACCCAGGTTTCTCGCGGGTGCCCTCGCCACTGAGCTGCAGGACCTCCACCTGTGCATCACGCCGCTGAGACATCTCGAAGCCCTTCGCGCGGTATAGCGTAAAGACGGTGTCACTTGCGGGCGAAACCCGGCCGCCAGTTGCGCAAAGCGGTGTCCCACAAACAGCAGTGTAGTGAGTCCGCGAGCAGTTTTATTTGGGGGACTGTTGACCAGGTAACGGGAGGAATTCTTTGACCGAGCTCTTTTCCCCTCCCCGTCCCTTCAACTCCCGGCCCCGGCTTCGCTTCAATCAGTAAACTAATAATTTATTGCTATTAATGCCTTCCAACAACCGACCTGTGGGACTGCCGGGTGCAGGTGGGGGACGTGTGGGACGCTCTTAAACGCGGTGATGGGTTTCCGCACGTGTCAAGACACTCGGGTGACCCCCCCCTCCCCAAAAAAAAAGTTATGTCCGTACACTATTTGCACCCACCACCAGGGGCCGTTGTGTGCCCGTCGCTCCCGTGTGAAATTCATGCGAAAACATCTTTGCCAACGGGATGTTTTGTTTTGCTGAACCGTCAGTCGCCCTGTTTTACACGCTCAGGAACGGGCAGCAACGGAAAGAAATCCCGGGGCACCGCGCACCTTCTCCCGGTGTCCTGGTCACGGACACGCAGTCACTGCACTTCACAGCAAAATCCTGCGAAGCGCTTTGAGACGTCTCGACGCCACGATAAGCTGCTCCACGCTGGGAGTGCCCTTAGCGTATTGGTTAGCGCGATCGCCTCGATTCCCGGGCGCGGCGAGTTTCCTTACCCCACTACGTTTCCTTACTCCACTCGCCTCTGTTTACTCAGCAGTGAGTAGGAACCTGATTGTTAGTCGATTGGTGGATCGCTTTCTGGGGGTAATAATCCCTCCCAAAAATCCACTCTACCCACGACTGTTTGTGGGGACGCTGCTGTGCGCAATTGGCTGCCGTGTTTCGCTCACAAAATACAGTTCCATTCACTTTACAGTATATTCTGTGAAGCGCTTTGAGACGTCTCGAAGATGCGATACGGCGCTGTATCAAACGCAAGGATTATTATTATTATAGTAAGGCTCGCCTCAAAAAGTGCCTTTTTGACTGAGCTTTCGGTCACCTTTGCTCTCGCCGCCCGTCTCAATACCAGATTATTAGAGGATTATTATCAACTGACACTGATTTGTCAGTTGTCCGTCAATTTGCATTGACATAATGCCCTCCACACAGGATAACACCTCGTAGAGCTGAAGGGCCTTCTTCTTTGACCGCACTTTCGCTCATCTTTCCCCTCAACCCATTCCCACCCCCTCCAGCGCACCACTGACTCCCACCCCCACCTCGATGTCGTGCTCTCTGGGACATCATTCAAAGCCCTCCGTGGCCTTGCCGCTTCCTACCTCTATGACCTGCTAACTCCATATAGTCCCGTCCCCCACCGCCCCTCCCCACTATCAGCGGTCGAGTCTTTAGCCTCTGCTCCCACCCTCTGGAACTCCATCCCGCATTCCCTTTGCCTCGCTGCCTCCCTTGCCTCCTTCATGACCCTCCTCTTCGACAGAGCCTTTGGCCACCCGCCTGCCCTCACCCTCCCTGCCCTCCACCCCTCCTGATCCCATCTCCCAGCTCGGGTCCAAATCCCTGACTGTCCAGCGCCCTGGGATGTCCTCCCGACATGAGAGGCGCTGCAGCAGCAACTTCAGTATGTATTGGCGATTGCACAACGATAATAAAAATCCTTGCATTTGACACAGCGCCTTATCACGTCATCGAGACGTCTCACAGCGCGTCACAGAATATACGGTGACGTGAATTGTGTGTGTTTATTAAAAAGCACTTGGAGGCGTTTGGACATTGTGGGCGAAATGCAAGGATTATTATCATTGTGAAGGCAATTTTTATTCCTTTCTCTCCTCTTCTCGCACCCGCCCCTGCCTAGCACAGCGCTGGGCTTAGCCTGCAGGTTCCAATACTCAGCCTGAGCTATTTATGGAAATAATTGCACGTCTGTGCTGACAACTCGCTTGAACCGAGCATCGCTGCAGTCGCTTGAGAGAGCTAAGTGGGGCAGAGTTGGCTTCACGGTGATTCCAGCAACCGGCGCACACACCATTGCTGTGTGCGCTCTGCAGAACGCTCCAGCTGTTATCAGCAACGCGCAGAGCTCCACCTCACCCCCTCTAATCGGGCGTGTTCCATCGTCGGAGGCGCCGTCCTTCGGGTGAGACGTTAAACCGAGGGCTCGTCTGCCTGTTCAGGTGGATGTGAAAGATCCCACGTGGCGCTATTCGAAAAGAAAAGGGAGTTTCTCTCTCTCGCTCTCTCCCTCTCCCCCTCGGTGTCCTGGCCGACCATCCCCCAGATAAAATTGACCGCTCCATCCACGGCTGTCCGCGGGACACTGCTGTGCGCAACTGGCTGCCGTGTTTACACCGCAAAATACACAGTCGATCCACTTTACAGTAAATCCCGTGAAGCGCTTTGAGACGTCTCGACGACGTGATAGGCGCAGTATCGTGTGCGAGGATTATTATTGATGCAGCATCCACTGTGAAGTGCAGTGACTGTGTATTTTTGTAGGCAAGCACAGCAGCTAATTTGCACACAGCAGGGCCCCACAAACAGCCACGAGGTGAATGAACCATCTTATCGGTGGGGATAAAATTGTTGGCCAGGACACCTGTCTACCTGCTCTTTTCGTATCAATGTCAAAAGTATTTTAAGGGAAAGTGGGATTAGCAAAAAGGGCGATTTGACGACGACGGGTATAATATACTCCGCGTATTTGATGTAGCGCCTTTCACGTCAGGCGGACGTCCCAATGTCCTGCAAACAGCCTTGGATTGCTACCGACTGAGCCAGGCTGACACGCAGGAGAGCAGCGTCTGCGTACTTTGGAAGCGATTGGGGCAAATGGCCTCGTTTCCGCGCTGAACCGAGCTGCTTCCGTGGAGTTACGCTGTGTTTTTCTCCCACTGTTAATTTGTCCGCAGGCTGAAGAGGCTCTGGAGAAGGGGGAGGTGCCGGTGGGCTGTCTGATGGTTCACAACAACGAGATCCTGGGCCGAGGGAGGAACCAAGTAAATGAGACCAAAAACGTGAGTGACGGCTGACTTTTCACCACACCGACGGGCGGGGGGGGGGGGGCTCGGCAAGCCTGAGACACCAAACTCCACACACCCAGCATCCCACTCCGCCCTGTCTCCCAGCACATCGATATCAAGGTCCTCGCCCTCACCTACAAATCTATCCACTCCCTACCAACCTCCCTGTCGCTCTGATTCCCTCCTACCCTATTCCTCCGCTCGACCCACCCCACCACTCAGCCAACTCAACAACACATATTTACACAGCGCCTTATGCTTGCACGTCAGGAGGACGTCCCAAGGTGCTGGATAGTCAGGGATTTGGACCCGAGCTGGGGGTTGGGATCGGGGGGGGTGGGGGGTGGAGGGCAGGGAGGGTGGGGGTAGGAGGGTGACCAAAGGCGCGGTCATAGAGGAGCATTTTGAGACGGGCCTTGAAGAAGGCAATGGAGGGAACGAGGCGAAGGGACTGGGATGGAGTTCCAAAGGATGGGGGTGGAGAGGCTGCTGTGAGTCCCCTGTCCTGGTGGCCAAGGCTTCAGTTCCCACACCACTTTAGGACTCACTCCCTCTAGCTCCCAGTCCAGGGACGGGTGGGTGCGGGGAGCATAGCATTGTCAAAGGCAATGGCCTTCAGAGGAGGCACTAAATTGAGAACCTTCTGTACCTACCGAGGTAAACATTAGCAATGTCACAGTGCTATCGGAAAAGAGAAGAGAGTTTCTCCTGGTGTCCTGCCCACGACATTAACCCCCAGATAAAATTGGTCACTCACTTCATGACTGTTTGTGGGACATTTCAGCTGCGTTCCCTGACAAATGCTCAGACTTTTAACCTGACAGAACTTGCCTGCGAAGAGCTTTGAGATAACTCAACGGTTCTAGGTCCCATATCAAATGAGAGGATTGTCGTCAAGTGAGATCAGAAATGCAATGGGATCAATTCATAACAATAGGAAGTGAATTATGAGAAGCCACAGATTTCACCCCGACATTTCGTGACACAGAAGGTGGTGGAACGTGAAGAATTTTGGAACGTCCTCTGAATGTGAAAGGCGCTGAACTAAATATAGTCAAACCTGACTTCAACGTCGCTCAGGGGACTGGGCCTAAGTGACCTTTATATTATAGAATCCTGTAGCGTATTGGTTATAGCGCTCGCCTCGCAAGGGAGGAGGACCTGGGTTCGATTCCCGGGCAGGGCAAAACCTTGGGCAATTACTCTACACGCCTCTGTTTACGTAGCCGTAAGTAAGAACCCGGTTGTTAGTCAACTGCCGGTTTGCTTTTCCGGGGGTAGTAATCCCTTCAGGATAAATAAATAAAAAACTACAAAAATTATTTGGTCTCTCAATCCACGACTGCTGGTGGGACACAGCTGTGTGCGGAAGCTGCCACGTCTCACCAACAAAATGCACCGTCAATTCAGAGATTCACAAGAATCCTAAAAATCCTTGCTTTCGATACAGCGCCTTATCACATCATCGCAGGGCCTCTTAAAGCGCTTCAAATAAATTGACTGTATTTTGTGGGCGAAACCCAGCAGCCAATTGAGCACATCAGCGTCCCACAAACATTCACGAAGTGAGAGACCAACCGTATTTGGGGGATTGTTGGGACAGGACACCGGGAGAGAGAAACTGCCTTCTCTTGTCGAATAGCACCTCGGGATTGATTTATTGTAATAATGTTCTTCACAGCAACTTCCATTTATGTAGCTTCCTCACGCAGGTGCAGCGTCCCGGAGCGCTTGACAGTGGCGGGGTTCGATGCCGAGCCAGGGGGTAGGGGGTGACCGTTAGGATGGTCGAAGAGGAAGATCCTCAGGCGCGAACTGAAGATGTGGAAGGAGGGGACGAGGTGGAGGGATAGAGGGAGAGAGTTCAAGAGTTTCGGGGCGTAGTGGCTGAAAGCGCGGCCACCGATGGTGGAGCGGAGAGCATGAGGGACAAGCGGGGAAGGCGGGGAGTGGGTTGGTGGGTAGGGAGGTTGGCAAGGTAGGGAGGTGCCAGGCCATGAAGGGAGCCGGTGGAGCCTGGCGAGGACCTGGTGTGAAGGGGGTCTGGCCTGGTGTTTGTGGCGTCTGCCGTCTCGCGGCTCACGGCCTGCGGTCTCTTCCCCCGCGCACACAGGCCACCCGACACGCGGAGCTGGTCGCGGTGGACGAGGTGTTGGAGTGGTGCGCTCGCAACAACCGCCAGCGGAGCCCAGTGCTGGCGAGCACTGCCCTGTACGTCACCGTGGAGCCGTGTGTCATGTGTGCTGCCGCCCTGAGACTCCTGAGTATCCTTCCCGTTACACGTGTGACAAGTACTGGGGCTGTGGTGGGGGGGGATCTAACCTGCCTGTAGGTCCTCACCTTATTATAATAATAACCCTGGCTGTTGGTACAGTGTCTTCGAGACGTCTCGACCCACTTCACGGAAAACACTGCAAAGTGGGCTTGATTCCTGCTACCGTGTGGCTGTGTTACTGGTGGCGGTTTGGCTCACTCGTTTGCACTCTCGTCTCGTTTTAACCTCATCCTTCCACACCCATTGCTTCCTTTCCAGAACACGCCCGACACGCACACAGCTGCACACGCACCGGGAATTTAAGGACCACTTTGGGGCAGGCAGACACGGTCTCAGTTAACGTCTCGCCCAAAGGACTGCACCTCCTCCAACCTAACACTTTGCCCGCCTCCCTCCTGCTTCTCTCTCTCTCTCTCGTTACCTTCCCTCTATCTCTCTCTCCCTTCACACCTCTCCCTCCCCATCCTCGTTCTCTCGTTACCTCCCCCCTCTCTCTCCAACTCTCTCTCATTATCTTCCCCTGTCTCTTTTTCCCCCATTGCCCCAGAACGCCAGGTCAGAAGTCTCAAACACAGGACTCGGAACCCACAACCCTCCTGATCACTCTCTCCCGAGCCGGGCTGACACAGATTAATATCACAAAAGTCAGCAGGGCCTTTGCTCAGCCTTTACCCACTCTGATCCCTTTACCTCGGCCACGGGAGTGGACCGTAGCCGTCAATGCCACAGGAACCCAAAGGTTTTTATATTTTAAGAAAATCATCTGTCGCCCCTCCGCCTCTCACAGCTCGTCGATTAATCCCTTGGCTCAGAGCGATCAGATTGCCTGCTGAGTTTGCTGAGACAGGTGCTGAGTGGATGGTGCTTCCTGCCCTCACCACCACCCACCTCCCCTGCTTGGGAATTGTGGATCCGCTTCCAAGAATCCATCTAATAATGTCCGTCCTGATATATTTAGCCCAGCCAGGAAGCCTCAGGTGCCTTCTAATGACTTCCTGAAGCTGCGAAGGGCAACGAAAGGATAATCGTACTAATAATTCCTTGCATTTGATGCAGTACCTTATCACCTCGTTGAGACATCACAATGCGCTTCACAGCACATACAAAATACACAACAACAACAACAAGATTCCATTTATAAAGCGCCTTTCACGTCAGGAGGACGTCCCACAGTCAGTTCACTTTACAGTATATCCCGTGAAGCGCTTTGCGACGTCTCGAAGACATCATAAGGCGCTCTTAACAAATGTAATGATTATTATAATACTATAAAGTGGATTGACTGTATTTTGTGGGCGAAACGCGGCAGCCATTTGCGCACAGCAGTGTCCCACAAACAGTTGTGGATTGAGTGACCAAGTTTGGGGGAGGGACCAAAAACCGAGTTCCTACTTACGGCTCGGTAAACAGAGCCGTGTGGATTAAGTCAATTTGCCTAAGGTTTCGCCCCGCCTTTCAAATTAAAATAAATGTTTTTAACATGGGCAGGATTGGATGAACAGCTTGCTCTGATGCCAGCGCAGAATCGATGGGTTGAATGCCCTCATTCAGTCTACGATGTAAATTTCTATAATTATAATAATACTTCAGTTATGTGGAGAGGCTGAGATTGTTCTCCTTAGAGCAGAGAAGCTTGAAGGGAGATTTAGCTGAGTTGTTCAAAATGATGATGGGTTTTGATAGAGTAGAGAGGGAGAAACTGTTTCCACTGGCGGGTGGGTCGGTAACCAGGGCATATAATTAAGATAATTGGCAAAAGAACCAGAGGGGAGATGAGGAGATTTTTTTTTTTACTCGTAAAGAGTTGTTATGACCTGGAATGCACTGCCTGAAAGGGTTGTGGAAGCAGAATCGATAATAGCTTTCAAAAGGGAATTGGATAGGTACTTAAAAAGGAAATAATTGCAGGGCTATGGGGTAAGAGTGGGAGAGTGAGACTAGTTGGAAGCTCTTTCAAAAGAGCCGGCACAGTACGATGGGCCGAATGGCCTCCATTTGTGCTGTAAGACTCTGATTCTAATAATCCTTACATTTGCCACAGCGCCTTTCACATTGGGAGCATATCCCAAAGCGCTTCACAGCCAATTTCTTTGATTCTGTGACATTTCTTGAAGAGAGTTTCTCTCTCCCGGTGTTCTGCCCAACAATCCCCCAAATAAAATCGGTCACTCTCTCCGTGGCTGTTTCACCTGCCCTCTACCCTTTTGAAATCCATCCCACAGTCCCTTCGCCTCACCCCCTCCCTTACCTCCTTCAACACCCTCCTCTTCGACCCCACCTTAGGTTACATTCCTACCCCTATTCTCCCTGCCCTCCACTCCTGATCCCAACTCCCAGCTCAGGTCCAAATCCTTGACTGTCCACCACCTTGGGGACATCCTCCCAACATGAAAGGCGCTGTACAAATGTTGTTCGTGGGGACACTGCTGTGCGCAAATAGCTGCCGCATTTACCCACAAAGTACACAGTCAATCTACTTTACGGTGTATCCTGTGAAGCGCTTTGAGACGTCTCGATGACGTGCTAAGGCGCTATATCAGACCCAAGGATTAGTATACGTTGGCAGATTTGTGGTCGGAGTTGGGTTGGGTGGAGAACAGGAAAGAGAGAGAGAGATAGAGAGCGAAAAAGCTGCAAAATAGCACATCAGTAATTTTTATGTCTCGGATGTGGAACAATCCCCAGCTCCATGCTGGTGCCGTTAATTATCTGAATGGTTTGACACCTTCCAGCCCTATTTATCTTTTACAACAGCTATTTATGGAAATAATTGCACAGCTGAGCTGATAGTTGAACTGAGCGTCACCATCGCTGTGGTAGACTGCTAACTGGGGCAGAACTGGCTTCATCTCCGAGCACGGTACTCACAGACCCCGACTTACTCCATTGTGGAGTCCTGTCGCTCAATGGTTAGCGCGCTCGCCTTGCAAGCGAGGGGACTCGGGTTTGATTCCCGGGCAGTGCCAAACCTTAGGCAAGTTTCCTTACTCCACATACCTGTTTACCTAGCGGTTTATTACTAAAATTACTGGTTTATTATTAAAATAAATAAGTAATAATAACTTGGTCACTCAATCCACAACTGGTTTGGGACACTGCGACACTGCTGTTTGCAATTGGCTGTTGAGTTTCGCCCACGAATATACAGTCAAATCACTTTACAGTATATTCTGTGAAGCGTTTGAGATGTCTCAATGATGTGACCGGCACCGGTTTCCTGCTCGTCCCTCACACCCTCCGCCCCACCATCGGAAGTCGCGCTTTCACCCACTACACCCCAAACTCTGGAACACTCTCCCTCAATCCCTCCGCCTTGCACCCCCTCTCCCCTCTTTCAAGTTCTGCCTGAAAACGTTCCTCTTTGACCGTGTTTTCATTACACGCTTTCAATTACATCGAGGCTCGACTATGCAAACTCATTGCTTGTCGGCCTCCCCAACTCTCTCTCCACAGGCTGCAGATCATCCAGAACTCTGCAGCCCGTGTCCTCTCCCGCACCAGGCTCCGTGACCCTATCACCCCCATCCTCGCCCGACTCCACTGGCTTCCCATCACACAGAGGATACAGTTCAACATCTGGAGCTCATCTTCAAAGCCTTCCATGGACTTGCTCCCCCCGACTTCTCCTAACACCCTACCATCCTGCTCACTCCCTCCGCTCAGTGGAGTGGGCTCCCGCCTGCTTCACGTCCCCCGCCTTGCTCGCCCCACTATTGGCGGGTGGTGCCCTCACCCTCTGGAACTCCATCCCGCAGTCCCTCCGCCTCGTCCCCTCCCTCGCCACCTTCAAGATCCATCTCAAGACCCTCCTCTTCGACCGTGCTTTCAATCTCCCTGCTTCCCCGCCTTGCCCGCCGCCCTCCCTGATCCCAACCCCCAACTCGGGTCCGAAACTCCCGACGTGAAAGGCGCTATACAAATGTAATTCTGTTGCTGTTGTTGCGCTTACGGCCACCTCCCCCCTTGGCTCAGAGTCAGACTCCGCCACTGTCAAGCACTCTGAGACGCTACCCTGCATCAAATTATTATTACAAGATGCTCTAGGATCTTACCTTGCGTGATGATGCGCTATATAAATGTTTGGGAAAACTGGAAAGGATGAGTCAGTGGAGAGAAATGTTTTCCACTGGTTGGTGAGTCAGTGACTAAAGGGCATCAATTTCAGATAGTTAGTAAACGAGCAGACTGGGAGGTTAGGAGAATGTTTTAGGATGTGAAACTCCTTGCCTTGAGCGGCCGAGGCAAAATCCATAATAGCCTCCAAAAGGGAACCAGATAATAATACTAATTCCTGCATTTGATACAGCGCCTTATCGTGTTGTTGAGACATCGCCAAACTCTAGATTGCAGAGCGGATTGACTGTATTTTGTGGGGGAGGCGCGGAAGCCATTTGCACACAGCAGTGCCCCACAAACAGCCTTGGATTGATGACCGTTATTATAACCTTGTGTCTCAGAGGTGAGAGTGACAGGGACTGAGCCAGGCTGACAAGAAGTCGGCTTAAATGCTGAATCAACACTTAGCTTCAGGTGTTGGTTCAACTTCGACGCATCTCACCCACTCACTTTTTACTGACTCTTCACTTCACCATCAGAACCCGATGCAGATAAACAGACATATTTTGTCCGACACGTGAGGAAACCCATCACCAGACTCAGCAGGTCAGGGAGCATCTTTGGAGAGTTGGAGAGAGGAAGGTGAAACGTTAACTCACTTTCCTCTCTCCATAGATGGTGCCTGACCTGCTGAGTGTTCCCAACGACTTCTGTTTTTGTTTCAGATTTCCAGCACCTGCAGCATTTTGCCTTTTGATTATGATTATAGCAATCAATAAAATAAGGACAGTTTCCCTTGACCGAGCCTTAGATATTCCTCTGGTTGTTTACGGCTGTCGGAATGAACGGTTCGGAGGATGTGGGTCAGTCCTTAACATCCCCACGGAAAATTTAGAGGACACTGGGACACCTTTCCAGGTACTTTATACTCTGTGAGCAAGGTACAGTAGGGGCCAGTTATAAGGCAATGACTTAAAGTGGAGGCACTGTATTTTACCAACCATATACAGGGTGAATGTTGTGGTAATATGTTGTGTAACATGGTGGTTAGCACGTTCGACTCGCAAGAAAGGGACCTGGGTTCGATTCCCGGGCAGGGCAAACCTTGGGCATGTTTCCTTACTCCACACACCTCTGTTTACCTACCTTAAAAAATATATTTGGTCACTCAATCCACGACTGTTTGTGGGACACTGACGCGCTCAATTGGCTGTGAGCACCAGCACAGACAGAATGGGGAGAGAGCAGGGGATGGGACTAGTGCAGAGAGCTCCAGTGGGGGAGCGAGCACCAGCGCAGACAGTGTGGAGAATGGAGCCTTGTGCTGAAACGTGTGGTGACTCTCGTTTGCTGGTTGCAGTGTGTCGGTGGCTACAGAGCTGAGGAGGCCGTGGAGCTGCTCAAGACCTTTTACAAAGCCGAGAATCCCAACGGTTCGTATCGTCCACCTTTCCCGCGCCTGCCTTCCTCTGTTAAACAGGTTGTTCATTCCACAGAGTCATTCTAAATACCCCCCTCACCGACTCCGTTCCTAAAAGCTCCTTTTAGTTAATCCCTACTTTGGAACTCTCTCCGCCAATCCCTCCAACTTGCCCCGTCCTTCCCCTCTGAAGATCTTCCTCTTCGACCGCGCTTACGGTCGTCTCCTTCCTGGCCCAGTTCGGCATCAGGCTCCGTCACAGTTAAGCTCTCCGAGACACTGCCCCTCGTGAAGGGCGCGATATAAATGCAAGTTGTTGTACTTTGGCTAATTTCCTTCACTTTCCGCCTCCCCAAACAGCTCCGAAATCAAAAGTGCGGAAGAAGGAATAAAAATCCCTGATGTCACGGTTTTTCTGCCTTCGAGCTGAAGAAAAGGGAGTGAGAGGGGTGACCAGCCTGGCATTCCTGAGCGGACAGGAGGGGAGAGGAGAGGACAGCCAGTGGAGACGTTCAGCATGTCTACCGGATGCCCCAGAGGATTAATATGGTAACAGCGATGGTTTGACTCATTCACCTGTGCTCTCGTCTCTGAGTCAGAAGTTTTAAACCCCCCTGACCATCAAAGATCCCTCTACACTGCTTGGAAACGAGAAGAGAGTTGCTCTCCCCTGGTGTCCTGGCCGACAATCCCCCAGATAATATCGAGCATTCACTTCACGGCTGTTTGCGGGATGTTTCTCTGTGCAAATTGGCTGCCTCGTTCGCCTGCAGAGCCAATCAGTATACTTGACCATTGTTGCTGAGGTTTTTTATGTGATAAAGTGCTATAAAAAAGTCGAAGGCTCTCTAACTCTCCAACTCTGACCAACTGAGAGTCCTGTAGCTCAGTGGTTAGAGCACTCGCTTTGCAAGTGAGAGACCTGAGTTCAATTCCAGGCAGAGGGCGAAACCTTGGGCAAGTTTCCTTACTCCACACAGAGCCTAATAATAATCCCTCCAAAAAGCAAAAACAATAATAAATTGATCATTTTCAATCTACGACTGTTTGTGGGACATTGCTGTGCGCAATTGGCTGCCGCGTTCGCCCACAAATATACAGTCAATTCACTTTACAGTGTGTTCTGTGAAGCGCTTTGGGACCTCCTCCCGACGTGAAAAGCGCTATATCAAATGCAAGGATTATTATTATTATTAACTGAGCCGTCAACACTATATCTCAGAGTGTACCTGTAGCTCAGTGGTTAAAGCACTTGCCTCGCAAGCGAGAGGACCTGGGTTTGATTCCCGGGCAAGGCGAAATGTTGGGCCAGTATCCTTATTCCACACACACCTCTCTGTTTACATAGCATAAGCAGGAACTCGATTGATAGTCGATTAGCGGATTGCTTTTCTGGGGGTAATAATCCCTTCAAAAAAATTATTAAAAAAATAATAATAGTTTGGTCACTTAATCCACGATTGTTTGTGGGACACTGCTGAGACATCTCAAAGCCCATCACAGAACATACTGTGAAGAGAAATTTGTGGGCTAAGCGTGGCAGCCAATTGCGCACAGCAGTGTCCCATGAATGTGGATTGAGTGAACAAAGTATTTATGTATTTTTGGGGGAGAAAGCGATCCACCAATAGAATAACAACCGGGTTCCTACTTACTGTTAAGTAAACAGAGGCGTGTGGAGTAAGACAAGTTTCGTCCCACCCGGGAATCAAACCTGGGTCCTCTTGCTTGCGAGGCGAGTGCTCTGACCACTACACTGTGGGACTCCAGAGCTATGGGATGAAGTGATGTCCGTTGACAATGGTATGGTCTGTGGCAGAGTGAGCTCGGGGAGTTAAATGGTCTCCTCCTGCTCTTAAATTCCTACGATGTTGTGTAAGGTTGCCTCGGGGTATATTCCATGATGCCACAAAAGTGCTTTATAAAACCAGTTTAGCTTTTTATAGAAATTGTTACAAAATGAAAGCGTGCGGTTTGAGCAGCCCATTATAGGAAGGATATAAAGGTGAGAGGGCAGGTTGACATAAGCTGTAAAGTGCAATTGGAATCCAAGGTTTTTTTTTAAATGGGTCGTAGAATATTAAACCAAGGAGGTGATGCTTAATCTGCGTAAATTATTAGCTAGATCGCAGTTACAGATTTGGTCACCCCACTTTAGGGACAGACGTTAGAGGAGACTATCTGGAACGATACCAGGGTCTCGGTGGTCCGGTTCCTGAGCCAGATGGGTCCGCAGTATTCCAGGGCACTGCTGATGGCAGCACAGCCCGGCCCGGCTCATCGGCAGGACTTGGAAGGGCAGAGCAGTCACTGGGGGCAGGGAATCCTCCCACTCAGCTCCTGCCAAGCCAAAGCCCTAACGGGTAGGATGGTTCTAGTTGGACCAGCAGCGGGAAAGCTTGCCAGACAGTGATATCAACAGCAAGCTATGTGGTTTAAGCAGGTTAGACTCCAGCAGTTACCGTAACACACACTCTGGGGTCCCCAAGCCTTGGCTCTTGCCAACCTGCGCCTAATACTCTCCGGAATTAGGTAGACAGGATACGTCCCTCCAGGGAGAGAGAGCGCATTCCATTCCAACACTCTATCTCTGGGATTTCCATGTGTAGGTGGTGATGCGTGGAAATCTCAGCTCGGTTTGGAGACTCTTAAGCACGGCGATGGGTTTCCACATGTGTCAGACACCCGGCTGACCAAAAAAGTCTATGAGCAAAGACCGGAAGAGCTGGAGGAGCTATTCCACTGGAATAGGTTGAGGGAAGACTGATCGAGGTACTTAAAATGAGGAGGGGAAACTGACAGTCATTAGGGAGAAATGATTTCCCCTGGTGGATGGGTCAGTGACTAGAGGGCATCCAACTTAAGATAGCAAAAGAGGAAGATTAGAAGGAATTGATTTACACAGAGAGTTGTTAAGATGTGAGATGTCCTGCCGGGAGCAATGGTTGACGCAAGATCTATATTAGCTTTCAAACGGGAGCTAGATAGGGAATTACAGGAGTCACTGCTGTGCGCCATTGGCTGCCACGTTTCTCCCGCAAAATACACAGTCACTCCACTTTGTAGTGTACTTTGTGAAGCTCTTTGAGACGTCTCAACAACGCGATAAGGCGCTATATCAAGCGCAAGGTTGCGGATCGCTCTTTCAAAGAGCCAGCACAGACACCAGGGGCCGAGTGGCTTTTATCTATCAAGAGCGCTATATACACTCAAGTTGTTGTTGATAAGAGGTTTTACTTGTAGTGAAACTGGGGCTGTTTTCCTTAGGTAATAGGGACTCTTCCTACTCAGCTCCTGATAACCCTGCACGCCAAAGCCCTCACGGGTAAGGTGATTCGAGCTACACAAGCAGCAGGAAAGCTTACCAGTCAGTGCTCTCAATGACAAGCTACGTGATATTAGCTGGTTAACCTCCAGCAGTTTTCTCCGACGCACAATCAGAGATTCGCTAAGTCTTGGTTCTCGGGGACAGGAGGAGGCCATTCAGCCCATCGAGCCAGTTTATTAGATCTTGTCAGATCTTTTATTTATTCCCAGTGCCCAGGATTAGGTAAACAGGGTGCGTCCCTCCGGGTAGAGAGTGCGCATTTCATTCCAGACATGGGGAAATTTCCATGTGTAGGTGTCAAAACATATGCAGAATTATCAGTCTGAATACACTCAACACACAGTCACACCACTTCACAATATATCCTGTGAAGCATTTTGATCCAATGAGGCAAAGAGCAGGGGAATGGGATTAGAGGAGAGCTCCAGTGGGGGAGCGAGCCCCAGCGCAGACACCATGGGGAGAGAGCAGGGGAATGGGGTTAGAGTAGAGAGCTCCAGTGGGGGAGCGAGCACCAGCACGGACACCATGGGGAAAGAGCAGGGGAATGGGGTTAGAGTAGAGAGCTCCAGTGGGGGAGCGAGCACCAGCGCAGACACCATGGGGAGAGAGCAGGGGAATGGGGTTAGAGTAGAGAGCTCCAGTGGGGGAGCGAGCACCAGCGCAGACACCATGGGGAGAGAGCAGGGGAATGGGGTTAGAGTAGAGAGCTCCAGTGGGGGAGAAAATAATATATAGTCTGGTTCGTAAACTCATAAGCAAAGAATCCTTAGAACAGGCAAAGTTGAGAGGTTCTTTAAATGATGAGAGAGTTTGGTAAAGTACACAGGGAGATTGTTTCTCCGCTGTTCAGTGAGTCAGTGACTAGAAGCCATAGGTTTAAGGTAATTACAGAGTTGCTAGGACATAGTCTGTCTGGAACATGTTTGAGGCAGAATGCCTAAAAGCTTTAAGATGGGAATTCGATCAATATCTGAAATAGAAACGGGTGTGTGGAAACGAAGGGGAGTGTGACTGAGCAGAGCAATCTCGCAGAGAGACGGCACAGACAGGATGGGCCAAATGGCCTTTACTGAAAATTTCTCTGGTTCTAAAAACATGGAGTCCCGTAGCTCAGTGGTTAGAGCACTCACCTCGCAAGCGAGAGTCCTGGTTTCGATTCCCGGCCGGGGCGAAACCTTGGGCAAGTTTCCTTACTCCACACGCCTGATAATAATCCCTCAAGGAAAAATAAAAAATAATAAATTGGTCACTTCAATCCACGGCTGTTTGTGGGATGCTGCTGTGCGCAATTGGCTGCCGCGTTTCGCCCACAAAATGTATACGATCAATTCACTTTACGGTGTATTCTGTGAAGCGCTTTGAGATGTCTCATTGATGTGATAAGGCGCCGTATCAAATGCAATGATTATTATTAGTATTAAAGGTGCATCTTAGATTGATTCACTGGGATGATTGGCAGAGGAATGTCGGCATCGATCTCACCCGCTGTGATGGCCTCCAGTCCGGTTCCTGAGCCAGGCCGGTCCACAGTATTCCAGGGCACTGCTGATGGCAGCACAGCCCGGCCCGGCTCATCGGCTGGACCTGGAAGGGCAGACCAGTCGCTGGGGGCAGGGAGTTAACCCACTCAGCTCCTGTCAACCCTGCAAACCAAAGTCTTAACAGGTAGAATTTTACAACTGTAGGTGAATGTGGCGGCTCAAATGTCCACAGCGATGTCACACAAAGAGTGAGTGGCCAGTTGTATTTGGGGGATTGTTGGCCAGGACACTGGGAGAGAGAAACTCCTTTCTCTTTTCCATTAGCGCCACAGGATCTTTACCATGCACCTGAACAGGCACAGACGAAGCCTCGGTTTAACGTCTCATCTGAAGGATGGTGTCTTGAACGATAGTCGATGATCCCCAACACCGCATTGTAAGACAAGTGAGGTCACATAGAACGCTGCAGTCCAGGAACAGGCCGTTTGGCCCAACTATTCTACGACGTTTATACTCCCAAAAAGCCTCCAATCCTCTGGCTACCCCCACTCCCAGAGTGTTCCAGAGTTTCGGGGCGTAGTGGCTGAAAGCGTGACCTCCGATGGTGGGGCGGAGGGTGCGAGGGACGAGCAGGAGGCCGGTGCCAGTCGAGCGGAGGCACGGGTGGTGGATTGGGGAGTGAGGAGGATCGGGGAGGTAAGGGAGGTGCCAGAGAGTGAAGGGATTTGAACACGAGAGTGAGAGGATCTTGAAGTCGATCTGTTTGGTGATGGGGAGCCAGTGGAGCCTG